TCATAGGTGGAGCTGTGCGTTTGCGAGAATGGCTTCGGAGAGAATGGCGTCAGAAGAACGCTGGGCTGAGGCACGGTCTGAGCATACTCGGCCAGGGTTACAGGTGGGTAGGCCGCAGGGTCCATTGGCGGCGGTGGGGGTGGTCCAGCAACCCCGATGCCAGCCGTCAAATCGCCGATTGTCTGTGTGGCCAGCAGACGCAAGGCTAGGGACTCCGCAGACAATTCGGCCTCCAGTTGAGGAATCACATTTTGCAAGACCTCCGGGCAAGCTTTCCACAATTCTCGGATCAGACGATGTGCTTTGCTCAGCTCCTTAATATCTTCTCCTTCCTCGTCCGAGTCGTCCAGGTTTGGCCTTCGGTGGGCGCTCTTCGAAGATCCGTTTGCGCCTGGTGCGGGAGCCGAAGCGTCGATGATAACATTGTTGAAATACTGGCTGATATGACTAGTCATTCTTTCCGGGCATGCTTGACAAATTGCCTTCGCCATGTTATAAGCGGGAGGATAGTCCTTGAGAAGGAGAGTGCCCTGTTTGGCGTCAACAGGAGTTTCGCCTTTTCTTCCTCTCTTGTTGGGTAGCTCCAAGGCGCGGGGATCGATGCGCAAAAACTGGGCCACGATGACATCTACGACATCGGGAGCCAAGACAGGCGATTCGTCAATCACCGTCACGAGAAGGCGTGTCATATCAAACTCAACATTTTTGGCGACTTCCTCCCCGGTGGAGTTCTTGGAGGACCCAGAGACGATGTCGAAGCAGCTTGTAAATAGCGGGATAATCAGCGTGTCTGGGTGATCTAGGTCAGTCATGAGCACGATGCTCTTGACTTCTGCGAGAGAGTTGAGAACATAAATGTGCTGGGCGTTGTAAGGGTTTGACGGGTCCCCTAATGCAGGAATGATGGAGGTAACTATAGAGGTAAAGATATCCTAGATTATCCCGCGGCAAGTTAGCATTGCCAGCATCGAGACAAACCGCACTCGATATCAGACAGCCTCTCAAAGCACATCAATTGCATCGACAAGGGTAGTGGTCATGTTGGCGCACCTTTAGTTGATTTGCCGTGAAAGGCGCGTCAGGAGCACAAAGGCGCAAGACGTCAACGATGCAGCAGGCCGTCCAAGCCCTAACACCTTTGTCCTTATGCGCCAGAAGATGAGCGGTGGCTAGCTCCTGCGACACCTTCTTCAGCGAGTCGGTGTCGATTTCCTCCTGCTCGAGTTTGCGAAGCTCCTGCGCGAGGGTCTGCAGTCGTGAAAGTAGATCGGCCACGGGAATGGCGGCTCGTCCTACGCGCCAGGACAACGGGTCATTGAACTTGAGACGACGCAGACCGCCGGAGATATCTTCATGGTCCACGACCTCCGTCGCGACGGAGGGACCTTGACGAGTGCGCGCGGGCATCGTGGACGAAGCGCGGGGAACGGGAGCCGATTGAGGGTGAACTTCAACACACCATGCGCGGCGCGGGCGGAGGCGGGAAACAGGATGTGGTTATCGAACGGGGGAGGAATTCAACCTCCGTTACGTGGAGAAAGAAGTAAATAACAAGAGAGAGGGAAATGAACGGGGTTCGATGGGAGGAGGAGGGGGAGGGGGGGGGGGGAAGGTTGGAGGGACAGGAATCAATTCAGGTGAAGAGTGGAAGGTGGTTGGTTAGCTTTGCGGTCGGAGGAGCAGTACAGGTACAGTACCGCAGAAGCAGCAGCAGCAGCAACAACAGCAACAGCAACAGCAACAGCTGCAACACCCAAAAGGATCGCCGACCGCCTTTGACCGCCTTTGACCGCCTTCCTTCAGGCGGGACGCGTCGTCGCGCGACTCAAAAAGCACTTGGCCTCTTTCGGTGGTTTCCACTCGGATCCATCATGGATCATGGATCCTACTCCGTCCACTACATCCGACTCGCATTACTTAATTTACCACCTAATACCGCAGTACTATCTACAGGAATCGATACAATGTCCAGTCCGCAATCACGCGGGTTGACAATTAAAGCATATGCCCTCTGAAGGAGACATCATTCCTACTATATACTATCTGCCAGCTGCCGAAGTGTCTAACTAATCTATCCCTGGCTAGCTTTGAAACGAGGGATCTTCAACACCCGGCACATATGACGTGGCTACGCTCATCCTGAGCTACTATACAATCCACCACATGTTGATGCAGAAAAGGACACACGCGGTCAATTTTAGATAAGCCAAGAGAAACTCCACGGCGAATCTCATTTATCTACTAAGAATGCAGTCCTATCTTTAACAACGCATTACAGTCTGACCGATCATGCTTAACGACCTTTCGCTCCACAGGCAAAGGCAAACCATTCAACCACAGCTTGATATTTTGTATTACATTCAGCCAGTATATATGCAGGTGAAAAGGCAAACGCTATCTATGCCGCATCGAGATGCCGCTATGCTATGCACATATCACATATACCGTTCAATAAACATTACCCATTTGATCATATACCCGTCACAAAAACGCCATGTAGGTGAGTGGAAACCTCAATGCAAATGTATCCTGGAAAACGAAAAAGAAAGAAGAAGAGGCCCATCGTCCACAGAGGTCGATGGAATGGGTTCACAGCTTAGGACTGAACTTGCTCATGGCCCGCAGCTTCTTGCCATAGAAGAAGAAAAGGACCGGAATGGGGATCATGGCCAAGGTGATGAAGCCCAGCAAGCTGGAAGCCCAGTCCACGCCCAACTTGTTGTACATCTGCGTGGCGAACAAGGGGAAGGCGCCGCCCAAACTGCTGCGGACGAGGGTGTTGGCAGCAATGGCCGAGTTGGCAAACATCAGGTACACATCGATGATGTAGTTGAGACCCTGCATGAAGATAACCAGGATGCCCATACCGATGGGGATGCCGGCGAAAACTTGAGCGACCCAGGAGGTGCTCGGATGCGAACTCCAGCCGAACCAGAACAAACCCACCGGCAAGAGAACGGAGGCGATCATCATCGGGGGCAGTCGTTCTTCCGGGGTAACGCGCCCATGCTTGGCCAGCTTGCGGGCGAACCGTGTCTTGGTTTGCCAGACAATCAAAGCCACACCACAGATCACTCCGATCAGGATTCCAATGAACGGGAGTCCAGCGATACCTTCGTTCGTCCAGCCACGCACTTCCTGGAAGGACACAGGGTAAGCTTCGAAGAACAGGTAGAGAATTCCATAAACCAAAGCCAGATACAGGGTGATGGCAAGCAGGATCGGCTCGAGGAACAGCATCAGAACCGGCCGCAGCAGGTACTTCGAAGCGATGTCCTTCATAGTTGGGCGGCTCTTGTCCAGCAGCGCGTATAGCTCAGTGTTACCGGTCTCCTTGCGAAGGCGGGCTGCTCTGCGTTGCAAGAGGACGGGAGCATATGTCTCGGGGACAATAAAGAAAGCCAGAAGTCCGAAAGCCGCCGAGGCGATCAGGGTGATCCAGGCAGTCCATCGCCAGCCGAGGCTGGAATCGGTAAGGAAGCCACCGACAATAGGACCTGGCATATCAAAGTCAGTCGACGGGCACAAGTAACAAAGAACGGAGGAAACCACGTACCAAGCACAGGTCCAACGAATGTGGCCGATGCAAACAGGGCGATGGCGATTGCACGGTCAACAGGATCCCAGAAATCGGCCAATGCACCGCCAACAACAGCGAGGGGCGAGCAACCAAACATTCCAATGATGAATCGACAAACCAGAATGGTCTCGACGTTCTTGGCCACGGCGACCGGGATCTGGAAGATGGCGAATATGAGATAGCCAGAGAACAGAGGAATCCGGCGACCATAGAGCTCCGAAAGAGGAGACCACATCAATGGGCCGACGGCGAAGCCGAAGACCACCAAACTCGTACCCAGGATCATGACTTCGGTTGACACGTGAAACTCTTCGGCCGTCACAATTGTTGCCGTTGAGAAGACACTACTGGCAAAGGTGATCCACATCGTCATGAAGGCCATCGACATGGTGATCACCCACTTCCTCCAGTAATTCATGTTGTGGGGGTTTTCAGGGTCGTTAGGCCCATCCCATTCGACGAGGTTAGGATCTCTTTGCTTCTCTTCAGCTTTCTCCAGCTGCTCTTCGGGGATGTTGGCATCCAAGTCTGATCCATTGCGTTCCAAATCCTTGTCGAAAGCGTTGTCAATCTCCTTCTCGTGATCTCCGGTCGCCGCGATCGATGCAGATCTAAGGGTGGAATCGGACGATTGAAGGGGTGCCTCGTTGCTCTGCTCGACCTTCGAGTCGATCTCCGGGGCACTGCTACTATGAGGGGCGCTCATCTCGGGCGACTGTAGCTCGCGTGGGAGCAGCAAACGGTGGGTGACTTGCGATTCTATCCCGACTCAGGGCTACCACCGGACAGGGGGATAAGAGGGGAGAGCTGATGAAACCGTGGGTAGGTGTGAGAGAGATATGGTGTCAACAGCTCGAAGACGAGAGTTCTATGACGAATTTTATTGAAGACGAACAAGGGAACCAAATGACCCTTGCCACGGGCTCTGGCCAATGCTATATACAAAAGCAAGCTTGTTTGCACGAGGGGCCACTTTACCCGCCAGGCAGAGCAGCAGGGGAAAAAAATCCCTGATAGCGTATGGGCAACCAATAGGCAACCTATAGAAGAGCAGGTATGAATCACGGCGAACAAGCATTAGTCAAGGTCTCGGGGTTAACTAACTAAGGGAACGCGAGCCCGTCCCCACTCAGGCCCCGATGGTCCAAGTGCGCCGTCGCCGTGTCTCTCGAGCTCGTTAAGTCCGGCCATGTGGGCAAAGCTCCGTCTTGGAATTTCCCGACCAGCAAGCTGTTGGGCTGATCGGTTTCGTGAGATGATGTCTCATCTTGCAGACCAAAGTCGTCAGCTGCCGTGATACCCGAGATAATGCAGTCAGTAAGCTGCATAAAGATGACTGTCAGCCCTTTGTGTGAGGGACGGGGGTGTGAGAGCAACCAAAAAGTTGATTGATAATCGCAGTCATGATGATGAATGCCAAATGAAATGGCGCCGGGGGAAGTCCGGTCGCCTGACTCGTGGAAAGTTCAAGCTTAGTGCGAGTGCCAGAGTGGGAATTGAAACTGGCTCGCGCTCTCGGCACTTCCGACCGCCGACATTTGGGCTAAGGAGACCCGCCAACGGGCTTGGCTACCTTGGGAGTGCCAGAGTGGGTGCCTTCGTAATTTTTTTTTCTTCGCTTCTGTTTCTTTTCCTCATTCGACCTTTTTCGAGAGCCTTCGCGAGGACTTTGATACTCGCCTCGCCCCGCTTAGTCTTCTTCGAGATAGACTAAAGAATATTGGCGAAAACGAAGCCGTCGACCTTCGGGTTGTTTCGAATAGAGTGAACGATCACATTTCCACGGTTTGCTCTATCAATCACATATCAGTCACATACACACACACCTACAGCCCGCTAGGGCTAAGTCAGGAGCTCCAAAACCTTGGGTGTATATGCAGCAACCCGCACAGCTGGCGATTCCCGATCAAGTCTATTCCGTACACTCCTTTCGGTAGAACCACCACCAACTAAGCAACAATCTATCAAGCCACTTAAGATTCCCTCCTCCTTAACCCCGTCGGTCGGGCGGCTCCTTCAAGCACCACGACACGATCATAAAACTCGCCGATTCCTTCAGTAGTATGAGTATGACTCTGCCCGTCAATCCGGAAATTAGTCTTATCTCCAGGAAGACCACGACCTGCAATCTCACGACACTGTACTGTACATGCAGCGTTGTCGATTCCCTTCCCCTCCTCCCTTTCAGAAACACTCATCTGGAAAACCAGACTAGGTACTCCCGTAGTCTAGCAACTATCCAGAAATCCCAGACACCACACAACCGTAGTGGGGCCTAGTTAGTAGCCATGGATGAAGCCAAAAAAAAAGGGGGGGAGGGGGGGGGGGTGGTGCTGGGGGCCCTACGTATTTAGATAAGTCTAGATTTCGACGGAGTGCACCCGAAAGGAAAATTCCAATCCTTCCATCCATCCATCCACCCAGACAAGACTCATTCTAACCCATTGTTCGAACGAGGATTCTTGTACCGATGAGTGTGGGATCGAGCAACCTAAGCAATAGGTACAGACTACAGTACAGCACACTAAGTACTGTACGTATACTCTTAAAAGATGGCGGTAGCGGCTAAGACTACGTCGTTCTGTATGTACAGTACTGTACGCTACGTCTACCTAGTAGTCTAGTTAGACAGCGCGACGCAATCAAAGGTAGGATTAAATTAACTAACTTACCTACTCCTAGTAAGGTGAACTTGGTTAACTAACTTAGTTGACTAACTCATCACCCGATTAGTCATTCGGCGCAGGCATCCGACAGAAACACGCACGGGCCACTGGCATGCCATCACGGCAGCCCTGAGGAACAAGTCCAGTGGCTCAACCAATTGCAGGCCACGGAGATGAGGGAGGATCTTTGCTGGTGACGAATAATCAGTCCTTCAGACAGGTAACTATCCGTCACACTAGCTATACCTCGCCTGTGGTCAGTCTAAGCGACTGAGAACCGGGGACGGTGACGCGCCTGCCTGGCCCTGCCTACAGTCTATATGGATGGGTACGCACGGTATTTTGTTGGTTGTTCTCCCGCGTTGCGATGCGATGAGGTCCAACAAGTCCAAGTCCAAGTCCAAGGGTGAAAACTGCCCGACCTGCACGCTGTCCTTGATTTCTCCCGTGCACGCGGCCCTTGGGGATCGGCATTCTTTACCGAGGACGGAGGCGGGCGATGAAATCTGGACTCCAGCTCGCGTCGCGGGAAATCGTTTGACGAGTCTAACAGCGATGCAGTATGGCGGTGTGGGCGGGGATCCACTGTCGATCTTGAAGACGTTTGGTTTGTCCCGTAGGATTGGAGGTTGTTTTGCTCAATGTTCCCTGTTGTGATTCCAACTTCGTTTCAGACGGATCACCATCGATGATCCATCGCTTGTTGTGATCGGTTCGAAGAAATTCTCATCTAGGTATTCCGCATCATCAAAGAACAAAAGGCCATGGAGTCCAAGGTGCATCACTTCCCGCCGGTACCCATCATGGGCAGCCGGCGATGATGCAGTAAATGGTTCAGATCAATTCGAAGCTATATGATCGCTGCAGACATAACTATGCTAGATACGAGATAAGTTACCCAAGCTTAGGCCTATCCTTACACCAACCATGGAGCGTGGACTGGGGTCTCCAGATAATGATTCCGTGCGGGGGTCCCGCCCACCAATACAGGAGTGCCAATTCACAACGAACGCCGGGGTCGCTTGTCCTCCACCTGACACCATAAAAATCGCTGCAAAACGCCGGAAAATGCTGAGTCGTTGTAGATAATCATGAGCTGTCTTCGAGGACATGGCCATTGGCGGCGTCTTTACGCTGCCTCAGCGTATCAATGGCTTTGCCAACTTCGTCTTTGGCCACCCCTTCCAGAGAGGCTCGGGCATCAGGCTCGAGGGTTTCGACATCACCCACCCGCTCGTAGAGCATCCGGGAGATACTCCTGTTGATGTCTGTATATTCATCTTTGGAAACAAGCTTCGAGCGATAGTAGGGTTTCAGCTCGGAAACTACAAGCCTTTGAACGGCCGACTTGACCGCGGAAGACGGCCCTGATGACCCCGAGCGAGAAGGGGAAGCATGGAGCGATCGTAGGGCTGCTGAGCGAGCTGCAGCCCGGGGAATACGGCGATTCCAGCGAGGAGGAGGGGTATGACGTGGGGACTGATCTTCATGGCGATCTTTGTCCAAGGCAATTGGAGAGACGTCCGGGGAGAACGGTGGGGAAGAAGGGTCTGCAGGCGACCCGAGTTGTAAAGGCGATACCGGTCTGTTTCTGCCATGTGGGGGCGGCGTTGTAGAAGACATCCGGGGAGAGGAGTGGTTAGAGGGAGCAGGCGAAATGGAAGGGGAGGTTAGACCGGGCGTGAAGTGATCGGTTGGGGCTAAGGAAGAATGGGCTGATGGACCGTGTGAATTGACGCCATTGTGAGTAGACGATGACTCCACCTCTTTCAGAAGCGATTGGAGGAAGCTCGGCTCGCTCGAAGGTTCGGCATTGATCCGAGCAGTGGCCTGTGCACTTGCAGCCCGCGATGACTCCCCGTTCTGCATAGCGAGAGCGGCCAAGTCTTCGGCCCTCCGAGTCCGAGGTCGTTTGAGCTTGCGTGCAGGCTCAGTAGGCTCCGGGGATGGGGACATCGTAGGCTCTTTACGTTTTCGTGCTGCACTCGGATCGTTCTCGATTTCTCGGGCACGCTCGAATGCATTCCAGGCTCTCATTTCCTCAAGCGACTCTGGCTCAGGGGTGGGCTCGCGAGGTGCGCGGGGCCGTGACGGCCGAGGGGCCTCGATATCGAGCAAGGCCGCAGTATCCCGAAAGCGGTTGCTGCCACCCTGTCGTTCAGCAACTTCAAAACGACGCTGCCATGCGCGAAACTCACGCTGATTGGCTTCTTCCCGTCGTTGCTGCTGACGAGCGCGCTCCAACGCCCTGTCATCATCGAAAGGGAAATCCAAGTCAATGTTCAAGTGATCCCAAACAGACTGCCACACCCTTGCCCAATGTAGGGAATTTAGCTGATTTCTGCTTTGTAGCATTCGTTGCTGTGCTCTGGTACGACGAATCCGTCGGTCCTGCGGTCGGGGACCCCTGTCAGTCGTCTCCGGGGAGCGTCCGAGACGACGTTGATTTTCACACCGTGCACAATACCAGGGCCCATTTGGCACCTCGTCGAGACCGACACAGTAGGTATGTGAGGGTGCATCACAGCCATCACAAAGCAGAAGCAAGTCCTCGTTGTCCGCATCGCCGCAGACTGGACAAGGCTGGAAGTCGATGAAGTCATCGTCAATATACTCGATAACCATCGAAGGATCGACCTCGGCAACTTGGGTTCGATCCTCCACGGCATATGACGAAAGCACAGGGCCTGTAATGTGAGAAATCGATATGTTAGCCAGGGGAAACATCCACAAGGTGTAGAACAAGTATCTAGAGGCTTCAATGGTGGTTTGGAGGGGGTGATAAGGACTTACCGCCGGGGCGATCACTTAGTTCGACTACATTGAAACTCTGCCGGCAGATAGGACAGCTGTTGGCCCGTTCTACCCATGGTTTGAGGCAGTTGTTGTGCAAAATGTGACCACAAGGTAACAACTGGGCGATTTGACCGGGATCCTCATTGCCATCTACACCATCGACCTTGCTGGCAACGTTCGCCGACTTGGTCTCTGGCTCGAGGTCAAGTCTTGGCGCGGCCTCGGCGGCGACGGCAAGAGGATCGCTGGCGCTTTCGCCAAGGTCTCCTAAGCACACAATACAAGTGTCGGACATTAACAGGAGGGGAGATTTCAGATGTGTCTGCAGGAACGCTGAGAGAAGGCATGAAGAGAACTGAAAGGAAAGAAAATAGGAAAGTTTTGGGATGTAGAAAGAGAAGGGGGGGGAGGGAGAAGGTCAGGTCGAGTGATGTGGGGAGAAAGCAACCGGCCTTTTGAAGGTGGACCGCCAATCCGATCTAACGCAAAGCAGGCTGGAGCCCAACGTGACCATCACCCCCAGAGCCAATCATTCCCTCCAGAAAACGGCAAAAGCAGGCTTAGTCAGTCGCTAGGATGATGGCTTCAAGAAATGCCCTGGCCCTTGCAGCACCAGCAGGAGCACCAGCAGGAGCAACAGCAGGCGCACTAGCAGGAAAGCAGTCACAGTAAGCAAAGCAGCTGAAACTGATTCACACTGACCACGTTTCCCCCTTCCCCTCCTCCCACTGTTTCTGCTGTGAATTCAACCTCTATCCACCGATAAAGTGCAGACCGCCTCCTTGCCCCTAGGATGGGACTGACTTGTAAAAGATAGCGACCTTATCGCACTTCGTAAGTAGTTAAGTGAAAGTAGCATTTCTGGCGGCCGCATTTCCTGATGTTTTGTCGCAGGGATAGAAACTCTACGAGAAGTGTATCCAGATCATGCAAACACTGGTCGTTGACCAGGTTAGGGGATTATGACCAGGCAAGGAGATCAAACCACGCACAAGAACAGCAACCCTCTGCAATGTGAACCGCACGTGTCGTGTCGAGAATCGAAGTTTCTGTCGAGGGGATTTCGCCGAACGAGGCATGCTCTTAAGAGTTTCATGTCCTTCACATGCGGGGAGGCCACGAAGTCCCCGTTAGAAAGAAGGATCACAAGTTCTCAACCCCATAAACCGAGAGAAACCAGAGGTCATACGAGGACATTGCAGAGCGTTGGCATGGTTCGAAGGGTGTGACTCGAGGACTAAGATTGGTACCGTATATGACCTGGTATCACCGATTGCATTTAAGTCTAGAAGGGGAAGTCTTAAATCGAGGACGAATTCGGTGCTAAACAACATCGGGGTAACGACGTTCGGAAACGAGAAGAGCGCTCATAGAAGTTTTCCAGATCTTAATTTGGCATTTTTTTATTTCAAACGTAAAGAAAAGGAAATCCCATCATCACATTTAGACCTCCGCAATTTCTCTGAGACGGCGGATGGTGGAGCGGGTGGCAGCGGCGGCGGGGGTACTGTGTGACGAAAAGTCCAGCGATCAGCAATCGTGTCACTTCTTAGAGCCTGCGAGGGGCCCAGTCTGGCTGGTTCGGAGGCAGGTCGACAGGTCGACAGATAGAGATGGCGAGACTTACGAGACGGTGTAGGCACCACCGGCAACGGTCTTCTTGCAGCCCTTGCACTCCCAGATACCAACAGCCTGGCGCTTGACGGTGTTCTTTCCGCAGAAGGTGCAGATGTAACGGGCGTGCTGGGACACTTCCATCTTCTTCACCTGCTTACGCAGGGAGGCACCGTATCTATTATCATGCCATCGTCAATATTCTGTGATGTCACGGGGTGAAGGATTTCGATGTGTCGGTCGCTCGATAATTATCGTTCGTGTTGTTGTTGCGATCGAGGCTTTTCGAATTTTTTTTTCTGAGGGGTTCGGAGTGGGAGGGCGCGAATGCCTACCTGGTACCATATTTACCGGTGATGCCGACCTCTGCAATATTTAGTCAGTAATTAATTCAGAAGGCCAGTTTCGCAGTCGTCTCGCGCAGAGATTCGAGGGTATACACATACTCTTAGTGCGCTTCGTCATCTTGGCTGGATCCGGCTGTTGAGGTCGAAGATGGATACAGTGCGGTAAGTCGAAATCGAGACGTGAGTCTTTCTAGTCGGGAGTGGTTGTGGGCGGGCTCGCTTAGGGCTGCACCTAGAGTCACGTGAGCCGCATCATACTTGGACTGCCTCTGGGATGGCATAGATCCGAGTAGTCAAGTTATGAGACAGTGAGGGTCATGGAGCTCTACTTTTACTACATCTTTAAGTCTTTCTCTTTTTTTTATTTGACCTTTCTTTCTCTTCCTCTTGATGATTCTCCTGGCCGCGTTACTGTGCGCGCATATTCTGAGGAGTCGTGATGACATAAGAAATCCACGGTTCGAGCTTATGTAATTCGCCCTGCATAACTCGCCATCAAGGTGATCAAGGTGCTGACACTTCGCTTACTTCGCTTACGAGTATTGTGCACCCATGCCATTGCGTCAGGAAAGTGAAAGCTACTATGCAGTACTTATAAACTACTGTAATACACCCTACCGGCTTGTGTAGATCAGTGTCCCAAAATTGAGGGGCATATAAGTATCTGATCACATGCATGGGGCAGACGGATCTATGGTATGTCTGGATCCGGTTAGTGCAGTCTAGTACTCGTGCTACCACCGATCTGGCCGGAACCGAACAACCTCAGGCCAGCCATCCCTAGTTGTATAAAACTCCGCTCCATGCGCGCATCGGGGTGCAGCAATTCCTCTGAACAACTAAATCACTGCCTTCAGCTGCGTACTCCGGTCTGCGAACCGTCACTCCAAAACCTAAGTATCTTCAAAAGTAGCAACCCACCCCGCCGAGATGGAATCTCAGAGAGAGTACGACATCATTCTCCTCGGCCCCACTGGTTACACAGGACGCTTCTGTGCCCAGCATATCGTCAAGCATTTGCCGACCAACCTGAAATGGGCAGTGGGAGGACGCTCTCAGTCCAAGCTTGAGCAGGCCGTCAAGGAATTGACGGCTCTGAATCCTGATCGCAAAGATCCTGGTACTGTACCGCGGCTATACGCGTTCTCTCCACATATTAATGGATAGTAGATACCATTACTGTGCAGCTCAATAAAGAAGAACTCGACCCGCTGGTACGCAGGACGAAGGTCATCATCTACTGCGTGGGTCCATACTGTTTGTACTCGACGCCGGTGGTCGAAGCCTGCGCCAGCAATGGAACACACTATGTCGATGCGTCGGTTACTCTTTGTCCACCGTTTGGCTTTCCTCTACTGATTGCGCACCACGTAGAACCGGAGAAACCCCCTGGGTGAAGACGATTGTCGAGAAATACCATGAAACAGCCAAGTCGAACGGCGCCGTTGTACGTCCTGCCCGCGTCTGGTTTTCATAACACCACTCTAACCACCTTTCAACCACTACAGATCATCCCCTCCGTCGGAATCGAAAGCGCCCCAGCAGACATGTTGGCCTGGGCTCTCGTCAAACGCATCCGCGAGGACCTCGCCTGCGACACCAAGGAAGTCGTCTCCGCCATCCACGAGATGAAGTACGTGGCAACGCAGCCCTCAAGGCACCACACGACTTCACTAACTTACTAACCTGACCACCAGATCCTCCGGCGCAAGCGGCGGCACCCTCAGCACGATCCTCACCGTCTTCGACACCCTCTCCTTCTCCGACATCGCCAAATCCACCGACCCCTTCGCGCTGGCCGCCTCGCCACCCCCGGCCAACGTCCCCCGCGAGCCCCTCCTCGCCCAGCTCTCCGGCGTCCGGTACGTGCGCGACCTGGGGGCGCTGACGACCTCGCCGTCCGGCCTCGCGGACGTCAACATCGTCCACCGCAGCAGCTCGCTGATGCCGGAGTTCTACGGGCCGCGCTTCCACTTCCGCCAGTTCCTGCGCGTGCGGAACGCGCTCGTCGGGGTGTTCGTCCACTATGCGTTTCTGGCCGTGATCTCGCTGCTGATCTTCGCGCCGGTCCGCGCCCTGGTCCGGAGGTACGTCTACCAGCCCGGCGCGGGCCCCACGGCCGAGGCGTCGGCGAACGACCAGCTCGAGTATCGAGCGGTTGCGACGGCGGATCAACCGGTGGCGCCGAAGCGTGCGTTCGGCAAGTTGCGGTACCAGGGGGGTTGTTATGAGTTCACGGGGTTGAGTATGGCGGAGGCGGCGATGGTGATTCTGGAGAATGAGGAGAAGGTCAAGCGGGTCTCGCGGGGTGGGATTGTGACAACGGCGGTGCTGGGACAGGAGTTGCTGGATCGGTGGGAGAAGGTCGGGTGTCGGGTTGAGACGCAGGTGTTTGAGCATTAACTTCGTTTCGTTACGAATTTTCTCCTCTTATTGTATGATCATAGTTGTTATATCTGTATGTTTTGGTATTCTTTGTGAATTGTATGACGCAGTCACTTGGAACACAATCCAACCCAACCAGTAAGTATGAAGCAACCCAGGGAATCAATCCAGCAATTCCCACCCACAAAGCCCACAAATAAAGCAATACAAAAGCCCCCTCCCCCCCCTTCAGGTAGAAAAAAAGGCAAACTCTCACAATCTCGACAACCCCGCTCTCCCAAAGACAACCTCCTCCAACCACCACGCGATAATCTCATTGACCTCCTCGGGCTTCTGCCACAGCGCCCAATGGCCCGTGCTCACCTGCTTGTAGGTCAAATGCGGGATCGTCCTGGTCATGCCGCCGCCGAGATTAGGCGGCAGGGCAGGGTCCTTGAGGGCCTGGATGAAGAGCAACGGGGCGGTGATGCGGCGGTTGAGGATGGCCAGTTCATCCTCGTAGTTGATCTTGCGGGTGCGATACCAGTTTACTGTTTCGCCCCGAATTAGCATAGACCTTCCACGGCCACCTACTCATAACCAGAAACAGGAGGGTAAACAAAGGGGAAAGCATACAAGGTCCTCGCAGCCCATTCCTCGCAAACTCGGTGGCGTAGTAGTCCAATTCCTGTACAGCAACACCAACAAGCGTTAGCACCACCACCACTGACCTATTCCTTGACCCCCCCCCCCCCAAAAACGAAAGATAAAGAAAGGGCAAAACATACAACCTCACTCAACAACCCCGACCCAGCCACCTTCTCCAACCGATCCCACAGCACCCCGACCTCGGCGTCGAACGCGACGCTCTTCTCCTCGTCTGCCGTGCGCCCGCCGTACAGCGCCGAGAGGAACCGCGCGAGTTCCGCCTTCCCCTGCACGTTCCGCTCAAGCGCCCGGCCCCGGAACTGCAGCTGGTAGCCGAAGTGCGGCGCGATGCGGCGCTCCGTCAGCGCCTCCAGCGATAGGTACTTGCGCGTGGGCGGGGCGTAGGGCACGCAGACGGTGAAGACGTGCGAGACGAGCGTCGGGTGCCACAGGGCGACGCGGTAGGCGAGGGCGGCGCCCCTTTGCTCCGTCACTCGCGGTTAGCTAATTGAGGGTGTTGAAAGAGGAGGGGGGGAATGGGTATGGTTGGGGGATGGGATAGGGGCGGTAACGGTACCAGTCATGTCCGCCGAGGATGATCTGGTCGGCGTCGAGGTGGGAGGCGAGTTCTTTGATGTCGTTGGCGCAGTTGCGGTGCGAGTAGAGGTGGAAGTTTTCGGGGGCGTCCTGGTTTGTTTGTTTAGTGATTGGGGTGCTTGATTGTGTTTTTGTTGTGGTGAGTTCATACGGTTTGTCCGTAGCCCAGACAATCTGGGGCTACTACTCTGAGCCCCATGTTGATGAGCATGGGAATCTGGTAGCGCCATCCCATGGAGAGGTCGGGGAAGCCATGGAGCTGTTTTTGCAGGTTGTTATACTTTCGATTCAAAGCTTTGTTTACACGGCGCAGGTGATACTCACCAGGAAAATGGTGGCGCGGTATACCCCCGACTCCGGCTCGCTATACAAGTAGCCTGGCAATATATGTATGGATCAGCCTCGGTTGCGTCTGTCGCTCAACAACTTGATAAGTGCAGTGCAGTGCAGTGCAGTACACAGACGTTATATGTTGCAGATCGAAAGCAATTGACCACCAAGCATAAAAATATGCATGATCTTCCACATACTGTATGTGTTGCCATTGAGGTTGGCGGAGCGGCGCTCGACTCGCGGGTCGCCGGTGACGTCGATCTTGTCTACCGCCATTTCTGGATACCACAAAACGAAAGGATGGTTTTATGCTGCGAGTATAACTACTTCTGAAAGGACAGTCAACTGAAAGGACAGTCAAAGACAGTTGAATTAGCAAGACAAATTGCTGCATAGTCAAGAGGGGGGGATGTGCTATACCGACTTTCTCTCTAATCTAATGAATGGTACCTGATGGAGTCTCCCCGCCAGCTGTTCATCACGTGAAACTGAAGCTATATTTATTCGACGAAAGCACCACGAGGCTGGGCCAGTGGAGTTGGGCATGCGACGTGACGCTTCGCTCAGTCTGTTTGTCTTCCGAGTAAGCCGATGGAATTAACGCAGCTATGAGAAAGAACGACCCATGGAGACACAAGAGAAGGAGGAGGGGTACATTCCCCAGTCCCCCATTGTTTGATCGTTCTGCCGAAAATGCCTCGGCTAATTATCAGATGCAAGAGACAGCAGAATGCAGCTACAGTTACTCCATACATGCTCAGACGTACATCGTGCCTGCGTTCCAACTCCGCGCTTTGGCTTTGCGTAGTGTACAGAACGCTGCGGGATACTCAGAATATAACCATTATAGAGTACAGTTAGATAGGATCGAATCGCCCATAGCTTCAGTTGGTTCTTCAGTAGATTACAGTGTCCTCCTGGTCCTCGACCACCTCTCCGCCGTCATCGTCGTGTGCGCGATGCAGATCATCGTGGCCGTCAGCCACAGACACGACGCTATCATTTGCGGGTGTGGTGTCTTGTGGGGCCTGTTCTGCCTCCCCTTCGGATTTCGAGCCTGAGTTTTCTGCGCGTACAGCATTCTCCTCAGGTGCGATCTTGGACTCGTGGGCTTCTGGTTCTGGCACCGACGCCGGCCCATGAGCATCATCGTGTGTGGTTTCCGGCTTCTGCTCGTCCTCTGCGTTGGTGTCCTGGTTCTGAGCTGCATAGCGTGCCTCAAACTCAGCCCTTTCTCGGGCGACAGTTGCTTCCGCCTCTTGAATCTGTTCATCTATAGCATCTTCATCATCGGACCGCAACTGCCATGGTTTGTAGTACTTTTCAGCACCAACAGTTAGCGTTACTTCTCATACAAGCCAACCCCCCCATCACCCCTAGAAAACGCAAGAGAAAAGTGAAAGACATACCAAAACAGGCTCCGCCTTCGTCTTAAGATACCTCGCCGTAGCCAAAATATTCTCATGCCGAGTCCGCATCTGCACATGGTAACAAATTAGCACTTTGCGCCGGAAACCACCCCGTAATCCCCAACACTGCGAAGCGATCCAGAATGACAAAAGAAAAGGGGGGGGGGGGGGATCTCACCGCTTCCTCCTCATAAGCCCTCTGATACTTCTTCCGTCTCTCCATCCTCTCCTCGCGCCGCTTCTTCTTCAACTCCCCATATTCCTCATCCTGTAACTTGAGCTTATCCTGCTGCCGCTTCTCGATATCCGCCCGCCGTCTCTGAGCCGCCGTGTTCGAGGAGCTCTGGGAGAGCGTGCCCAGCAGCGCGCCGAACAGCCGCTGGCCGCGTTTGCGCTCCTCGTCCTTGCGTCCGGCGGCCGGTCGGCGCGGTGGTGGTGCGCGTGTCGATTCCTCCGGGGAGGCTGGGGGTCTCTGGTCTTGGTCTGCTGTGGGTTCCGATGAGACGACAGGCGGATGGTCGTTGTTGTTTGTTTCTGCGGCCTGTTCTTGTTGTTGTTCTCGGTCTTGGTCTTGGTCTTGTGGCTGGGTGACGGAGGCGGAGGCGGAGGCGGAGGTACTCAATCGGCGGCGTTTGCTGTCTGTTTCTGTGCCTGTGGCTGTTACATCGTCGCCCGCCTCTGTAGCGGAGGAGGACTGTCGCCGTTTGAGGCCCGCATTTGTCGTTGTGTGATCTGGGGAAGGGAGTCTGGGCTGGTGGTCTTCTGGATCGGGCAGAGCTACTGCCGATGCGAGAGTTCTATGTATTGATCATAGCATCAGTAAACCATGTCTCATCCCTGAGAGCATGTGGCGAATGCGTTATTGGAGAGGACTAGAACTGAGACATACCCTTCAGCCATATCCGCACTCAGAGACCGAACTGACCGGGGGAGGTTGTACGAAAGGGTTTCCAAGAAAATTGATGACACCAGAGATTAAGGTACATACACCTTGTGATCAGGGGAACAAGCAACGACAATGAGTGAAGAAGGAATAGAGATCGGACGGACAAAATCACTCACGACCGAGAGAGAGAAAAGCAAGAATGTTCAATTCTCGAAGCAACACCCAGACTGATAACTTTAGTTAGCGATGCGATCGATAACTTCTGGCCAGCTGCTTCGGCGGCGGCGCGGGACTGCTCCGTGCACAGACCACGCCTTACCCAATCGGGGTCTGCCGTTGGAGTTCCAACCCAGTTGCAGTGTCAGTGCTAGAGGAAGCGCGGCGATTCTTCTTCTTCCTTCTTCACTTCCTTTCTCACCTGGACACACACATTTCCGTCAGCTATTCACCCTTGCTTTGAAATCCTCTCCATTCATCCACGCCACCTACAGCGTACAACACCTACTAAGTCTCCTGAACCTCCTACCATCACACCCTCACCCTCCCCCTTACCCTCAACCACAGCAATCACCACAACCCCTCTTACATCCTCAAAATGTCCCGCCACCACCCCGATCTCGTCATGTGCCGCAAGCAGCCCGGCATCTCCATCGGCCGCCTCTGCGACAAGTGCGACGGCAAGTGCCCCGTCTGCGACTCCTACGTGCGGCCCACTACCCTGGTCCGCATCTGCGACGAGTGCTCCTTCGGCAACTACCAGAACAAGTGCATCGTCTGCGGCGGCGAGGGGATCAGCGACGCCTTCTACTGCTTTGAGTGTACCCGCCTGGAGAAGGACCGCGACGGGTGCCCCAAGATCATCAACCTGGGCAGTTCGCGGACGGACCTGTTCTACCAGAAGAAAAGTTTTCGAAATCATTGACCTCCGTGTGCCCAATCCCCGCCGCTTGTTTCGCCGCTGGTCTACCGTGGAAAAAGTGTGGGTTTATGGTCGGGTACTTTTTCTCGTGAGGTGATGCTCGATTTTGCCTGCTCCGGAAGAAGCGCCTCGTCTTGGCTGTTACGAATGATTTGATAAGAAAAGACACACAGCTGGTGGAAGAACGCTCAGCTCTCTAAGTGCCGGGGTGAGGGGCTATATACTGTATCGATCTTATAGAGCAAAAAAGCAAGATGTACAAGAAGTCAGGGGGAAACGTTGGGTCCACCTGGGAACTAATCATATTTACCGTCCGGGACGTCTCGGTCTCGCGAACCCGCGACTGGGTCCGGTGCTTTGTTGCGGGTGGACCTCTTCCTGCAGCCTCTCGCCGGAGATCTCGTCGGGAGAGGATGCCTCGATCTGCAAGTGCTAAATGTTAGCGGAAGCCCTTTCTTTTTTTTTTTTTTTTTTTTTGTAAGGCCGTTGACTGACCTTCTTCGAGACCTTCAGTCCCTGCTCTTCAGCCAGCGCGAGCGCGTGCATGCGGGAACTAGCGTACAGCATGCGCTCTCGGATCGACGAACCCGACGGGCAGGTGTAAATGAAGACCACGGTCTCGGAGTCAGGGTAGTGATAGAAAGTGTACCGCGGCGAGGATTCCGGGATGTGCGACTGGACGGCGTTGGCCTCGACGCCCGACTCAGCGACAGCCACCTTGAAAGCCTCCGACTTGACCTCGATGGCCTGTATTTAGTTTGTGAAGCAGATTCGTTAGCGAGACCTCCAATCCAGATGCAAGCAAGCATATCAAAAACCAGATCCTATCCTCTTTTTTTCGCTGCCAGTGGCAACTCCAAGAACCAGATAATCACCCCGCATCAAACCTATAAGATATAGGGGTAAACACATACCAACTGCACCAACCCACCAGCCCGCAACCCCGCAAGAGCCGCCTTAACCTCATCGTCCACATGCATCTGGATGCGCATCCCCGACGCGCCCCCGCCCGTGCCCCCCGCGGCGAACAAACTGCCCCGCTGGAAGGTCCCCCCGATGCCAATATCCCGGGCGGGGGTGCCGGACCGCGCCTCGTCCTCCGCGCGCCTCACGGCCTCCAACTCCCGCTCCTTCTCGCCCATCAGATCCTCCCTCCTCCACCCCAGTCCTTCATCAGCGGTGCCACCAGCATCCTTCCGGGCTTTCTCCGCCTCCCGCTCCCGCCACGCCGCCTCCCCGATCACCTCCTCCTCGTCCGTGGCGAAGATGGTCGCCGCGAACTTCTCCGTGCCCAGTTCGCGGGCGAGCGTGGCGCGCGTCGCCGCGAAGAGGGTCTTGTTGCGCACTCCCGCGTTGGAGGGGATGTAGGTCAGGGCGAGGAGTTCATTTTGCGAGTTGGTAGTGGGCCGGCGGAGGAGCAGGTAGATCGGGGTCTTGGGTTCCAGGACGGTGGTGAGTTGCGGGAGGGAGGCGTAGAAGCTGGAGGGATTTTGGGTCGTCGAGGCCGAGGCCGAGGCGAAGGGGAGCGCGGGTAGCGGGGTCAGGCGCTCGGATTGGATGGTCACCGGGAGGCAGAATTGGGTGGCATCGGTGGTGAAGCTTGTGAAGGCGGTTTGGAGTTCTTGGGAGACTTTTGGGACGTATCATTAGTTTTGGGGTGGTTCTATTGGGGGACAGGCAGGAGGGGGGTTTCTGATGGAAGGTGGCCGATGTCGTAATGTCAGGGGAAGAGAGGTCGGGAGGAGGAACAGGGAAATGTTGGGGAGCTTGGAGACAGAGAAGAGTGCAGTTGAGATGGGAACGTACCTGAGATTCCGGACTGCATCTTGAAAGAGGAACACCAAGACTGGTGTGGGTGTTCTCTGATGCTGGCGGTGGTGGTGGTGGTGGTGGTGGTGGTTGTTGTTGCTGGCAGTTGATGGGGAAGAGCGACGGATGTTTACTGCGGAGTGGACGGAGGGGGGCGGTGTGTCTGGCGGGGTTCACTTCAGTAAGACGAGCGGAAGAGAAATCAGGGCAGGCGGGTTTCTATTCTTAACTTCTACTTGTCTTGATTTTCGGTCCAATTCTCAAAACATTCTCTATTTCCTTACTTATACTTGATCAACCAGTCATCTCTATTCTGGGTTCATAATAGTCATCATCAGGCACTTACAATGGATATTCACAATTCTAACCAACTTTCCAAAAAAAAAAAGGTATAGATACAAAGGAAACATGCGACCAAAACAACACGACATGATATATACAATTCACCCCGGATGTGAATCTTCCAGAACTGGCTATCCAGGCCTCCAATCAAACATATAAACAGGAATCCCTTATCTCAAAAGCAGTGATCGAAAACGCCACCATGCTCAATGGTATCAAATGCTTTCGAAAACACATGGCGGCTCACTCCTTCCTACCCGCATAACACCTTTTTTTTCCCCACTGTTACTCCTCAAAAGTGCCGCCGACGAAGGGCCACCGCGATGACTCAAGCTTGCCCTTCAGGAACTCATAGACCGTGAACGTGACGGCCTGGCCCGGGGCGACTCTCATTACACGGGGCGTGATACCCTTGTAGAAAGCGGCGGCGCCCTCCTGCTTGAACATGTCCTTGGCGATGACCACGATCCGGGTCACGGCGGACTGGCCGGGCTCGGCGCGGGTCTTCTGCAGTCTCGTCTTGATGGTGTCGATGGGAGCGTTGGAGAAGGGTCCGACGGCACCGGAGATCAAGCCGATGCAGGTCGTCTGGTAGGACGGAAGCTGCGAGTTGGCGTACTCGGGCTGGCTTCTCTGCAGGAAGGCCTTCAGCTCCGTGTATGCGGTGAAGTTGGCGGCCTGGTTCGTTCCCTGGCGGAGGGCCGTCAACGAGACACCGCGGTACAAGGTGCTGAACCCTTCCTCCCGGATGACGGTGAACAGGGCGTGCGGGGCGCTGCGGTACTTGGGGGTGTCCAGAGGGTCCGACAGACTGTGGTGTTGTGCTTGCAGACGGATCTTGATGACTTCCATCGGGTTGACCACCGCCACGGCTTCCGTCACACCAGCGCAGAGACCAGCTATTGGGGGAGAAAAATGTCAGTCAGGAACTCCCTCGGGCCAACCCAATTCAGTGAAGCGCAGGCCTGTCGACATACCGAGGAAAGTGGCCTTGCTGGTCACGGCTCCAGTCTCTTTGTCCGCGAGCCATTGCTTGTACGTTTCGTAGGATGTGAATCGGATGGCCATCTTCGGGATGATACCTCCCAGGACGGCTCCGAGACCCTTGTACAGTCCCAAAGCGGTTTCTCTCTTAACGATGTCGACACCAGTGGCAACGAACCCGCGTGGTTTAACCTGGGTCAGGCGTGTCAGCCGGAGCGCGGATAGTTTGCGCGGGAGCACTACTTACACCAGGGGCTCTGGCCCGACGCGACAACTGCATGCGGACTTTGACAGTATCTGATTGCCTGTCAGTGGACCACTCTGACTGTTCCCGGTAGAGTCGAGTGTCTTACCAAGGGGATGGCACACTAGAGCCTCCATCATACCGGCACCACCACCAGCTGTCGCAGGTCAGTATTGTGCGGCAGCGCGTGCGCCGGGAGGGACCAGAGCTTCATACCGATCAAATTGACAGCCGGGGAAGCCGGCTTCTTGCCATTTCCTCCTTTCGCAGACATGATGAAAGATTGTGTGATTCAAAACGTAAAAACTGACGCTCAGGGCTACGCCAGGTAGAGCGAGAGCAGTTGAAGCGATGCGATTGTATGCGCTTTCGTTGGCAATGGCAAGGACAAGGCGAGGAACCCAGGGCGGATAAAAGAAGGGAAGCAAGGAAAAGGGGAAAAGAAAAGAAAGAAACAGGAGAATGGTAAGCCCTCGTTCTGGAGCGCAGGGGATCTTCTTTTTTTTAATAGGGTGCAGGATTGACGGATCGGTGGTTCACAAGCAGTGCCAAATAATTTGCTGGTACGGGGAGATACGGAAGTATAGCAATTACGTTCCCTCGGCTCGACCAAGTCAAGGTATTTAAAATCGGCGATTGAGAGGAGGTCACTGGATCTGGGGTCTAGCGGGCCAGTCGCGCAGAATGACTGGTCTGTCCCGGATAATAAGAGTCACAATGATAATAATAATAATAATGGGGATTGCAAAGGGGGGAATGGGGACTCGGCAATGAGGATCTCTACTACTTGCTGGGCGGACGGACAGGATGAGTTTAGCCCTGAGAAGCCGGGCGTGGAGAAGCTATGACGGGGAAGCGGAGGAAGCTTCGCTGGACGAGCGGAACTGCGGATGAGCTGCCGCCGCTGCAACAGCCGAAAATTATTCGCAACGAGGAAGAAGGATGAATATGGTATGAGAGGAAATAGGAATGTCTTTGATCTATACTTCGACAGGGGAGGAGCATACGACCTTCTTATACGCCGGTCCTCCTCATTTTCTACCACGACCATCATATCAACGCATCAGCTACAGTGCACTGGCAGTAAAGTACATCGGTACAATACATCATGCTCATGCTCATGTCGCCTGGGGGGTCTGTCTCCTCCTCCACCTCCCTCCCCACGTTGTCGTCGTCGCTCTTCCGAGGCTTCGGGCCCAAGGACGGACGGTTTGGCCTGTCAGTCTGGCAATCCCAGTGACTGACTGACTGACTGACTTGGTTGTAACCGGCCAATCTTCCTCCGAGCGGTGCCACTGGGCAGGGAGAGCGGAACCACACACACAGTATTTTAGACAGTCAGTGATTCAGCCCAGCAAACTGCATCGGGCAAAGAACCAGAAACCACCTTCACATGCTGGACCCTTCTTGTCGTCATCTGTGAACAACAACATCATCCTCCTCCCGCATTCAGGGTTTAGAAGCTTGTGACAGTGATCCTCCCTCTGGAAAAACTTAGTCAGAGTTTCATGGCGAACTCAACTTCATTGTATGTATGTATGTACTGTAAAACAAGTGTAGCCCACCCTCCCACTCACAGTGAGGAGGGTGTAGGTAGTCACGGGTATTCCCGGGCCAAGAACCTGGAGATCGAAAATGCTGCCGAGGTCGTTTTCCCCCCCTCAGCCCTCAGGCTTCTCCTTCCCCGGAGTTCTCTGGACCGGTCGCAGCGAGAGCTTCGGCTTTGGGGAGATCTCAAAAAAGAAAAAAAAGATCTTGTGACTTTGGTGGACCACCGGAGTTCTACCTTTGCTCCGATTCTCGCAATTGCTGCGCTGCGCGGGTGACCAGAGACTAAACTAAAAAGCGTGGTGGATGTGATTTTTACTGTTGCAGTACAAAAAAGCGCTTAACCCCACGGTTCAGGTTTTATCCATGGTCTGCTGACCGTTTTTCCCCCCGGCGGGCGTGCTTGCATTGCATTGCCTGCATTCCGGCAAATTCTTGTTACATAGAGAGAACTCGCTTTTGATGACAAGTTTATGTACTTTACTGTACGGTAGTAGATGAAATAATGATATCGATCATCGATCAGATCAGGTGACTTTCTCCTGCTTTACGAGTAAAAGCAGCCTGAGGCTTTGATCTAAGTTCTTTCACATGCTGCTGGTCGCATTGCATCGGGGGTCTGTCTCACCTGGTTGTGAGGAGCGTCTCTGGGGAAGAGTTAACCTCCGACGAGGGTCTCAGTTGCCTATCTTATGCCTTGTGGAAGCTCTGCAGTAGCTCTCTCGAGTAACGTTTTGTATGAGCAGGATGATTAAGGGGGTCACGTGCTGCTACATAGGCACGGAGGACGGACGGTAGATTGTTGGCCCGATAAGTTCCAGGTCAGAGTATACTGCTTCGACTTGGCTGATACTGACCTCGGATACTGACTGATACGATGAATTAGGACTGAGGGCTCTAGATAAGATCGTCAATCTATTCTTATCTGGCTTTACATTTATAAGTATACATAATAGAACAGCGCACATGCATGTCCACGCCCAACTTCAGCCAGAATGGAACCGCCTGGAAGATCTTTCAGCCTATCAGTTTATCAGGTCGGCCCTAGATTTGACACCGATCGACCACCGACACACAACTCGTCCATCATGCAGAGCGAAAATGGCACAATCTGAGTTTTTGCTCAGTAGCTATAAGGCGAGGAGAGGGAAACGCTTGGCAAGAACCACTGCACCTCTCTCTGAGAGACTCTTACGGAAAAGCTTAGTTGGAATCCAAAAATCATGAGCGTGGCCTCGCCTGCCCAACCACCACCACCATGGTACCGCCGGGGGCCCGGGGGCATGGGACAAGCCCTGAAAACGACGGCGCTCTTCATCCTGCATCAATGGCTCCTGATCGGGATCGGGGTCGTCTGCGTGCTGGCGTACTACTTCCCGAACGTCGCGAAGAACGGGGGCATCATCCGGTCCGAGTATAGCGTGCTGTACGGGGCGATGGCGCTCATCTTCCTGATCTCGGGGCTCAGCGTGCCGCGCGAGAAGCTGTTTCGGCATCTGCTCAACTGGCGGCTGCACGTGCTGGTGCAGGGGTTCTCGTTCGTGGTCATCCCGGCGCTGATGCTGGCGGTCGTGCACATTATCTTAGTCGGTGATCCGCACCAGCACATCGACCGCGCCGTGCTGGCCGGCTACGTCTTCCTGGCCTGCATCCCCACGACCATCGCCTCGAACGTGGTGATGACGCGCTCCGCCGGCGGCGACGACGCCGCCGCTCTGGTGGAGGTCATCATCGCCAACTTCCTGGGCCCCTTCGTCACTGCCGGCTGGACCATCGCCCTCCTGCCCGCCGACCCGGCCTTCGACCCCTGGCGTGGCGCCGCCGCCGGCACCGGCGACCTCTCCGACATGTACCGTGACGTCTTCAAGCAGCTCGGCCTCGCCGTGCTCCTCCCGCTCGTCGTCGGCCAGCTCGTGCGCTGGACCTGGCCCGACCGCACCGCCTGGGTCCTGCTCACCTTCAAGCTGCCCAAGCTGAGCACCGCCTGTCTGCTGTTGCTGATCTGGTTCGCATCTCCCCTTCCCTTCCCTTTCTCCCTCCCCCATCCCATCCCAAGTCTGACACACCCGAAAAGGTCAACATTCAGCTCCTGCTTCGCAACCGGCGCCCTCCAGACCCTCTCCGTCCAAACCATCATCTTCGTCACCCTGTTCAACATCGCCCTCTACATCTTCATGACAGCGGCCTGTTTCGTCCTCTCCCGGCCTCCCGCGTTTCTGGCGCGTGTGGTGATCCCCATCCCCGTGCCCGGCTTCCTTTCCCGGTTCACGGCAGCGGGGAGGAGGAATCCCGGGGAAGACGACCCAAAACGGAGGAAGGTGGAATTCCGGCCGTTTCGGCCCATGGACCCCAAGGAAGCCATCGCCGTGTGTTTCTGTGCTCCCGCCAAGAGTAATGCGCTGGGCATTCCGTTGCTGTATGCCATGTGGGGGTCGTTGGAGCTGTATCTGAAGGCGAAGACCTCCGTGCCGGTGTTGTTGTTTACCACGGAGCAGATCTGTGTGGCGCATTTCTTTGTGCATTGGTTTAAGAAGTGGAGGGTGCGGGTGGAAGGCATTCAAATGGGGGATGGGGATGCGGAGGTTGCGGGGAGGAGTGGAGGGGACGGTGGTGAGCAGGAGGGAGTTGGTTCTGTTGAGGAGGGAGTAACAGGGAAAGGAGGGACCGCGGACAACGGGGAATGGCGGGAGAAGGACGCTTCGAACCTTGTATAAACCGGCCATATTGTCGTTAATAGATTCATACAATAGAATGAGAATTTACAGGAATAAGGAAACAGAACGTGGTTGGGGGCAAGTCGATCACGACCCTATACATTGAATAATCACAGACCATGGTTTCGTCATCAAATGTAGCTCACTTTCACCCCCATCCCTATCGTCCCCCTGACTTTCTGCCATCCCGCGCCTGTGATCCTCCGAATGCGCTCCCGGATATCCTGTCGGCTCAGCGCGAACAAGATCCCCAGCATGAAGAGCATCGTCCGCGCGAAGGAGAGCGGGTTCCCCGCGATACTCTTCCGGATGAACTGCATCAGATTGCGGACCACATTCGTCAGGGCTTGTGGTCGCTTGGCTCGCGTATCGGGTTTGTCTGTCTTTTTGATGCTTTTCGAGCCGGACGGCGAGAACGCAGTGCGGCCTGTTGCAGAAGCTCCAGTCTTCCCATTGACCTGTTTCTCGGTGCTCTTCCCTCGACCATTGATACTGCCGTTCGGATACGTCTTCTCAATCCCGTAGTCCACCTCGCTGCTGCTCCGGCCATGGCCCTTCTGCTGCGACTGCAAGACAGCAGCAGCAGCGGCGGCGGCGGCGGCGTCCTCTTCCACCTGCCGTCGTTCAGCCTCGCGCGCTTGCCTTTCGAGCTCCGCGTCTTTCTCCCGCTGCAGCGCCGCAGCGCGCAGCTCCCCTTGCTGCTTCTCCTCCTTCAAGCCCTCTAGTGTCTGCAAGAACACGTCTTTCCGTTCCTCATCGAGGATTTCACTCAGGCTGATGAATTCCTGCGCGTAATCCCATTCCTCGTTGCGGGGGAGCACATGCAGCGTGAACAACTCGACGATCCGCACCCGTGCGTTCAAGTCCTTCGGAGTATCCGTCCCGCCATTGGTTCGTTGAAGTGACGTCGTGGACGAGGAGTGGTCGCGCAGATGCTGCTCGGTGATGTCTAGGTTCGGTTGACCGGACGACGAAAGATAGGTTTCAAGTCGCTGTTGGTTGAGTTTCTGCGATGGCATATGGCTGAGAAGTAGGGTGGCGCTGATGGAATCGGGTGTGGTCAGTTGGCAAGATCGAGCTTTGTCGACGCTGAGGAATTCACTCACACATTATATACAACTTCCGCGTCGACGGAACCCTCGAGACCCTGGTAGCCGGTCTGCACGACGGTCTCCCAGATCTGTCCCTCGCGAACTTGGGACGAAATAGCTTTCCATTCCTTTTGTCCGAATACTGCCTTGCCTTCTTCAGGCCCCAGGTCGACAATGGCGCTCAGCAGGGTGATGTAGAGATTCCATACTTTGATCCGCCACGTGGGTTGGGCGGCGGCGATGGGCGGTCCGCCGAGGGCTGAGGAGGAGTCGCCGTTGGTGAATTGCTCGTCATTGCCGCTGGGAGAGGTGATGGCGGGTTCCAACGCGGCGAGCGCTTCTTGAATCCGTCGTGTGAGAAACAGATGAGATGCTTTTTTGTAAGTCTTGGAGCAGAACTTGGAGGGTGAGAGTGGTGATGTTGTTGTTGCGGAGGAGGAGAGGTGTTGCGACTGACTTGCCGATGGGTCGGCCATTGTAGTTACCGCCAGCGGGAATGCGACAGGCGACTTGAAAGTGGTAGAATGGGGTTGGGAATGAGGAAATGAGAGGTACAATGCTTCCACGGAGAAATTCCACAATTGTAAGTGTGGTTGACAGGCAGACTGTACTCGGAGGAGGTTGGGTTTAGGAGAGGAGGACGGAACGCTGAGACACTAAGTAAGGTAGAGTTGGTCGGAGGCCCGGTACTTCTTCTCATACGGACCGATCGCTGTGCTGCTTCCAGCTTCACCTCGGCTTGTTCGACAGTCCGGGGTTGTTGCTCTGTCACGGGATAGCTGCCTCAGGCTACCACCCCGCGTTATCGGTTCTGTCTGGTGACGGCTTCATGCTTCCATGCTTCATGCATTCCTCCGCCTCGAGGCATCGACTGTGGGTCGCTATAATACCCATCAATCATCTTCATGTATAACGGAGCAGACAAATTAGATCAGTGACCTTCGCGTCTAAGACAACAATCACAACGAGATAATATTGTCAAATCATAGGAATCTCTAATGACCATTCCAGACCATCTTCGTTCCTTGAGTTCTTTCTTCCTACCACTGGTTTCGCCTGATAAACAAAACATTGGCCTCAGTTCCTGCCCACACTGAAGTCTGTGGGTGGCATATTTCAGCCTCGCTCAATCTAGACCACACCCAGTCTTATTCTCTGAAGGCAATCTATCATCATCATTATTCTTGATATTATTGTCATCCTTCAACCGTCTACTACGCATAACTAGAAAGCATGGATATCACCGCTCAGAACTTTGGGCTAACTCTCCCTATGCTCCTAGATGAGTTGTCAACCTGCTGTTTTGTAGCCCTGGACTTCGAGTTCTCAGGAATAGCAAAATCTCTCGATGGAGGCACGAGCCGGAGGAGCACGCTTCAGGAGCGGTACGAAGAGGTCAAGACATCTGCCGACCACTTCCAGATCCTGCAGGTCGGCTTGACCATCTGTCATGAAGACCCGAAGGAAGGTTGGGAGTCCTCAATCGATTTGCTTCCCGAACAAAGGCGCTAACTGGAAGGCGAAGGTATCTACACCCTGCGGCCGTATAACCTGTATTTGAGCCCGATCATTGACGACAGACTCGGAATCGAAAGGCACTGGTCCTTTCAAAGCAGCGGTACGCTTGCCGCAAAGTCCGCTGTCTCCGGCTACTAATCTGCTCTTCCATTCTAGCTGTTGCGTTTCTCTTGACCCACAGATTTAGCATGGACTCGCTCTTCAGAAATGGCGTGGGTTATCTATCTCGAGACGAAGAGATCAAGGCCGTTGCCAAGGTCACTGAAAAGTTCAACCGTCCGGAAGCGACGACCACAATAGGCGTTGATGAAACCGAGTTGGAATCAATTGCCTTTCTCCAAGAAGTGCGACGTCTTGTGGATGAGTGGCTTGCGCTTGGTACAGTATGTCCCCTCTTCTCTACTCTGTGAAGCTCGTCTGACTTCCGGCAGGCCCGTGGCAACTACCTCAACATCCCACCAGCCAGTCGTGCCGGTGCAGTCGAAAAGCCTGGTCTCGTGCCGGTGGAGCTTAACAGATTCCAAAAGAGACTCATATATCGACTTATAGAGGTGGAATACCCGTTGCTGAAAGCTTTCGGACGGCCGGCCGGGTTCCTGCAAATCATAGACCGCGACGAGAAGCGGGAACAAGCCGTCCTTGCGCAGAAAATCGAGTCTACGCAGAAGAGAGCTTGGGAACAGACGGGGTTCAGATGGGTCGCCGAGGCTCTGGCTGGTGGTGATCTCGCAAATCTCCCGCAGGACTACTTCAGCAACCGCTGGGCAGGCTTGCAAGGGCCAAGGCCCCAGCTGAATCCAGATCAAATCAAGCAACGCCTGCGAGCCACTCGACCAGTGCTCGTGGGCCACAATCTTTTCACCGACCTGATATACTTCTGCCGATGCTTCTTCGGACCTCTGCCGGATCGTGTCGAGGAGTTTCAATCGATGACTCATGAGATGTTTCCTGTTCTGATGGATACGAAATATATGGCTACCCATGATTGCGGTTCCATCAACCCTACGTCTTCCTTGCAAGATATTCACAACAAGCTGGCTCCCAACCCTTACCCGAAGACCAGTAAGTGGCCTTCACCAAGCCCGCAATCTGGATGAGACTAACATGCCTGATTCTGCTAGAGCTTGCTTCTCAGCATACAAAATACAAAGCTCAAGGCATCAACCATGAGGCGGGCTATGACAGTCTGCTCACCGCCGAAGTCTTCATCAAGCTCTCTGCACAGCTTCGGGACCGGGGCGCAGACGATGAACCTACACCGCCAGCCCACGAGCTTATCTGGCAGGGTCAACCAATTACACAGTTACAGACTCCAGACAGGGGCGCATACAAAACTGAGTTTGGGCAGGGTGAGAGGCTGAGCCTGCCTATCCAACAACAGAATCGTGACAGAGGCAAGAACACAAAGGCGACAGGATCAACCCCAAAGTCTGGTCAGCGTGCGTCGGTCGAGTCGCACGAGCAGCTCGTTGAGCATACGATCAATAATTATATGAATCTCCGCACGGGCGAGGCTGAGGAGGCCAGCAAGGGCGCGGCTCACAGTGTCAGCGCGGGTTCTCCAAGAGCGTCTCAGATGGCGCTGAGACCCAGTAATTCCATAGTAATCCAAGATAGAGCGAACGGTGGACAGCTGATCCCTCGTCTAGACGCCAAATTCTGGAGCACTTACGGAAACAAGTTGCGTGTCTTTGGGACGCAAGAGAGGGTGTGCCAGTTTGGCTGAGGCCGATCGAGACTACCAGGAATAGCAATTGCATAGACTCTGGCATTATGAGTAGTAATGTAGCGATGAGCTTATGATCTACATTTACTACGAGTTACTACTAGCCCCGAGTATCACAATTGCCCAGCGTTAACTAAACTGAGTGATGGTAGGGAATGTATGCAGCGTCTATCTAACAGTACACCTTGGTTCAAGAAGGTACCGCTAGCGAAAAATGGCCGCAAAGTACTCACTCTGAGCACCGGAAAAATGATCGACTGGTCGTGGAAAAACTAGAACAGTGACGATAAGGAAATGGTGCCGTGAGGAGAAAGAAAAGAAAAAGAGAGAGAACGGATTTAGTGGGGACGGATTATAAAGGACCTGGTCACGTGTAATGCTAGCCTTGGGACGGGACTAGAATTGTTCCGGCTGGAGTCTCGCCGACGGACAGACAGAGACAGAGAGAAGCAGGTGACCGCCGCGCCGCCAACTTTTCTCGTCCAGTATCGGCGTCCGGGAGGGAGTAGTATATTGACAATCACCCCCCCAACATTTCACATAGCCCTTTGGAGAGATGTCTTCCGGGTCCAATGGTGCCAGGCGCATAGCGTCACTTCTGCGTGAGTTAATCTCAATCTTCCGGTCTTTCCCCATTTTGCTTTGCAATCGGACGACGGACAGCTAAACTGTTTTCTATCTCTCCCAAACAACAGGGCCTTCCGCCTCCGACTCTAGAGTGTGCAGAAGCTGTCAAGAGACCATCGTCCGCCGACAATATGCCTCAGCCGCGACGACGCAGGGCACCCCCGAGACCACGACCGCGCCGCCCACCTCGGCCTTCCCCGTCGTGAAGCCCACCCACACCATCAAAGCCGGCGTACTGCTGTCCCGGCAGCCCCAGATCACCCGCGACCTGACCGATTTCGAGAAGGCGTACTTCTTCTACCAGCGCCGCCTGAACGAGCGGCTGACGCTCCCCTTCACCAAGTACTTCTACTTCAAGCGCGGCACGCCCGCCGACGAGGACTGGAAGCGCAAGATCCGCGAGCGCCAGACCGCCGCCCGCGACATCGGCAAGTACAACGCCTACTCGAAGGATGCGTGGAACGACGAGCTGCTCGTGGGCGCGGTCGAGTCCGACCCGGCCCACCAGGTCGAGATGCTTGTCCAGGACGCCGAGGCCACCGCCAATGCCACCTCCCAGGACACCAGCAAGAAGGAGGAGATCCCCCGGCCGTTCCCCCGGTGGACGGAGGCGGACGAGAAGGGCGACCACAAGAGTCTGAACCGGGCCCTGCAGCGGACGCTGTATCTTCTCGTGCAGTCGAAGGAGGGATACTGGAAGTTGCCCAGTTCCGCGGTGGAGCCGGAGGAGACTATGAAGCAGGTATGTTTTTGTTCCTCTAAAACATGGGTGACTGTGAATAACGCGGCGTCCTCTAACCTTTCGTTGCAGGCTGCCCAACGTACCCTCGCCCAGGCGGCGGGTGTCAACATGAACACCTGGTTCGTGGGCTACCACCCCGTCGGCCACTACGTCTACAACCTCCGCAAACCCTCCTCGGAGCTCCGCGGCGAGAAGACCTTCTTCATGAAGGCGCGCATCTTCACCGGCCAGGCCGACTTGACTGGCAATGCTGATAACCTGACCGATTTCAAGTGGTTGGCCAAGGATGAGATCGCCAAGTACGTCCGGCCACAGTACTATGCTAGCATCAAGAACATGCTGGCCGAGCGGTAAACAAAAACTTCCTGAGGATGTTTTTGCTTCATTTCCACTGTACTGTTAGGATAGAATTAGATTGTTGAGGGGGTCTGCGGGGTATGTGTGGCAGTTAGAATCGGTTATATTTGCATATATCATTCTGTATGTCTGTGTATGTGTGTGTGTGTTTTTGTGTCATGTATAACTAGCTTTTTTTTATCAACTACCAAAGTTCTTATTCCATTTAACTGTTGGATATCATGTGCAAACAACCGTCTGCTGCCTCGACCTTTCCCTAGCAATTGCACCCCTGAACGCCATGCCACTCACGAAGAGATATTTACCTAGTGGTCCCCCCGATGGTAAGAATAAATCATAACACCGACAACATCAACAACCTAAATAACAAAGTAGAACCATTCACTTCAAATTGAACTTCTGCCCCTGCACAACCGGCTGCCCCTTGGCCACCACCCCCTTAGCCAGACTCTTCCCACACATCGGACAAGCTAGGTATACCCGTCAGTAACTTATATCACTCACATAAAAAACACAACGCAACCCATCTCGCGATGCATACAACCACAAAAAGGGGGGGGGGGGGAACAAACAATTCTTCTGATAAGCGCACCGCTGGCAGTACTTCCGGCCTTGCTCGGTCTTGGTCTTGCACATCTCGCACGAGGACGAGTACGCCGCGTACGGGTTCTTGGCTTTAGCGCTGAGGAGTTTACTCTGCCGTTTTGGTTAGTTTTGGATGGTAAGAAAATTGGGGAGCAGCGACTACCTTCCCGATCCCCGTGTTCCCTAACGTGGGTTTCGATTTGTCTGTATGACTGCTGCTGGCACTGCCGCTGGTCGAGGGGGAGCCGTAGTACATCTCGCTCTTGCGTTTTACGCCCGGGGTGGCTAGTTCGGTTTGTTTGAGTTTTTTTTGGCATTTGGCGCAGACCATTTTGGGAAGTTTGTTGGGTTTTGGGGGGCGGTGGGGTGGTTTATTGGTTTTTTGGGGGGTTTAAAGTGTAGAGCTGAGGGGGTATCTATGATGGATGGATAGTTGAGGTGATGGATGCTTGCTAGATGGATGGATGGATGGATGGATGGAGAGATGTGGCGCGGGGCCGGATGGCTATGACGCCACTTGGCGGTGTGGCGCAGTTGCTGGGGGGTGTGCTGCGTTCGATGTCTTTGCGTAAATGATCATTTGTTTGGTTTCAGTTGGACTCTGATAATTGTAGTTTCTGGGGAATGGATAGGACTATGATTTTGCTGATGATTGACTTTGGTGTTCACTACTAAGGAAGGTTTGCTAAGAGTGGTTGATGGTGTCATAGTTCTATATTTCTGCGGGCAACTGGCCGCATACTACAGCTCCAGAGGTTCTTATGTAGTGTTTAGAAGCAGTAACCTTTGGCCATGTAGGCCTCTCAGTAAGTTCCTTACAAATGGAAAGCACAAGATAGAGTCACTTGTCAAATTTAGTAGTGGGATGGTGCTTGTACTCAGAACAATGCTCATCCAATTACACCGGGGATAATATCAAACTAGCAAGTGACAAGTCTTAGTTCGAAGAATATTCCAGGTCATCGTGCCTTAGCCTCCAAGCAGGCCAATAACCACCAATATCCCGAAAACACATGCAAATCCTCGGATTCGCCTGCAGTTTGCTTGGGCTGACACAGGAACGAGATCCACACCACGCTGGCCGGGTGGTGTGTATCCTTTCGAGACCCGAGACCCGAGACACACCGGTAGCGCAGCTCGCAGGAAACCTGAAGTCAACTTCAGCTAAATCGTAACAATATGGAGTGACTATAGTTAGACAAAGTGCACAGTCATCTGCGATGGTGGGTGGTGTGGCAACTGGCGAATATTAAATACTGACTTCGCCCACTTCGGCTTCAGCTCTTCTTCACCCACCCCCGACCCTCAAGCCCACCAATGTCCGACCAGCAGCTCACAGTCATTGTTGCTCAGCTAAATGGACTCTCAGCTGCTCTGGACTCTCAGCTTTCCAGGGGTCCACTCTTCAGAGACCTGCATCATGGCAGGGCTGCCTGGTGGTTGCTTTTTTGTTTCCCAATGGCTGCAGGGTAACCCGCCACTCGTGAACTGGTCTGCATCGGTCACTGATGCGTTGCTAGCCCAGACCACAGACTGGATGCTTCCAGACGGCGAAGCGAGGACCAAGACTGAAAGAAAGTTACTGACATAAACTGACCAGAATAGGAAGCACGCCTGCGCACAGGAAAAAGAGAAACATCCAACTATTGGCGGCGCATGGTGCGCAGTCAAACCAACTCTTGGGAACCTTTAGCTCCACGCTCCACGCTCCACGAGCGCCAATTCCAGCAGAGTGGTTCGGCCACTTGCTGTCCAATCTTTCTGCCAGACCTTCATTCTGGCAAAGCCAACCAGCATGCTCTGTCCCCAGCCATGGCAATATAAAACAGTGGCCCCTGGTGGTGGGAATTGCCACGGCTGGGCGTTCTCATCCTGGGGCTTCTAGTCAGATTCTCGCCGATTTCCGTCAGGACTTAATACATCACCAGTGGCTTCTACCAGTGTTTCTACCAGACTGACACGTATCAAACGTCACCTACACTTTCATTCTGCCTGAGGTCTACGATACTGTGCTGGAGGAGACAAACTTTGCCAAAAGTCTTATCCCTGACTCTGGGATTTTGCTTTTTTTTGTCAGATCCTTCTTGGCCGCCCGGACCAGGCTTGGACTCCCTACTAGCTTCTCGACTACTGACGCCTTCTTCCCTCATTAGCTCTCGATCAGCGGAATTGGACGGCACGTTTAGGTCGAACACGGCGTGGCCAACCGGGGGGTGGTGAGTCCCTTGCTTCAGGGAGGTTAACGAAAGGGGATCTCGACCACACAGCGGCACACCTTCACCGCGATTCAATCCTCCCAATTCTTTCTCAGATATTTCTTCTACTCTCTCGACGGAATTGACTTCCTTAGTCTGAAGACCGTTCGATGCTTAAGGTTTGAACCTTAAAAGTGGTGGTTGATCTAGGGTGTTTGTCATACGTCCGGGCGGGTCAAACACGGGGTTCTGCTGCGATATAGATCATACGGATCACACGCTCGCAAGGAAACTGACACAATGCCTCTCAATGGCTCTTCGTTCACATCTTTGAATCTCCCATCAGCATTTACCCTCCCGCGATGCATGGAGTACTTCACCGTTACTGCGGGCCCCAACACGGATCTTTGGCGCAAACCAGGGGTCCGTGATACCGCCACCGCTCCAATCGTCTTCACCTCACTCCGGCGCCGGTTCGAGGTCGCCGAGGTGACCGTGACCGCGGATTGGGAGATGGAATGGGATCAAGGCGGGCTAGTGATCTTCGCCGGAGCGGCACCGCAGTCATCAGAGGATGGACCGATGCACCATGTGCCCTTGTCACCACCGCTACCGGGGACGTCTCCCGCCGCCGCCGCGGCCGCCGCTCGACTCGGAGCCACGCCCCATGCTAATGTCAGCCCCGGCAAATGGGTCAAAGCCGGCATGGAGTTCTGCTCCGGGACGATGAATGTCTCCAGCGTTAGCGCCACGGTCGACGGCGCGGACTGGTGCGCCTCGCCGTTATCCTACCCGGAACACGGCCCTGCGATGGTGCACTCGCTGCGGATCAAGCTGGAGCGCGTCGGCCACGCCCTCTGGATCTGGTACCAGGTGCCCGCCGTCGCGGCGCCGTATGCGATGATGACGTCGGGTGCGCTGCCCAGTGGGATGTGGCGCAAGCTGCGGGAAGTGACCTGGTTCTTCTATGGGGTCGAGGACAAGTTCGTGCACGTGGGCGTGTACGCCAGTCGCCCGAACCGGCTGTCGCGCAGTGCGACGATTTGGGAGATGATGAATGGGGATGGGGCGGAGGGGACGGGGGCGGCGGATGGATTGGTGGTCGAGTTTGAGGATCTGGAGATTTCTTAGGAGTTGACTCTTGTGCTAAAGTTTTCGAAATGCTCATGGTGATGTTTGCTGCTGCAGGATAGCATGATGGGCGTTTCCCGGTTTCTCACGAGTTTGACGACCGCTGCTGCTTCTCTTTCTTTCTTGTGTGCGTCTCCTTGGTAATCTGGTTATGGCGAGAGCGGAACCGGCGTCCTTGACGGGGAGCTTTCAGTGGGAGCTACTTGGGTGTTTGGATGCATTGAGGGTTCCAGTTGCTATATAGGCTTGTAGGTACTGTCTAATCTACGGAATGTTCTCGTTTCTAGAGATCGAGAGGCATATCCGACCTCCACCCAATGACACCTTATTCTTTGGCGTCATTGGCAAGCATCCTCCTAGAACATATATCTCATTCTCGAGTCGATGCATCGCTACCAAACCCTTCCCTGAAAAACTGGTGCCATCGACAAAATCCTCTTGAATCGTGTTCGTGTTCAAGAACTGTCTAAGCAACCCGTCGCCATCTGTACAGTACAGTACAGTACACTCTTCGGTTTTACCAACATGAACATCGACGTTCGGAGATCCGGCCCATCGAAACACACACATACCTCTCTGGCAGAGATGCATGCAAACCCGAACCGGTCAACCGACCACCAAGTCTAGGGAGTCCAAACATCTTTCTGATTCCTCTGGCTAAAGTTCGGGTATGACCATGCTCAACTGCCTTCTCTTTTTCTGTTGCTTGTCTTATCTACGTAGGTATAGCGGAATCAAACCAACAATCGCGGCGTCATGCGACAGTTGCCCGAATGGAGCAGCCCCTCCAGTGGCTCAGTTCCCGCCGCCGCCGCTGCTGCTGCTGCTGCTGCTGCTGCTGCTGCTGCTGCTGCCAGGGAGACCCAACACAGAAGGCGGAAAACAGCTACGTAGCCAGCCCGGTGCCCGTCCGGCTAGGGCCCGGGCAGGGCACAAAAACCCTTGAACGCTTTCCGTGGGTTCCGCTCCCGACCCTCCCTTCCTCTCCACCGCCGGGCCTGGTCTTGACTCTTGAGAGAATAGTGGAACGAGGATGGAGAAAGGGGGAAATGTTTCCTTTTCAGTGTACTGCAGCGCCTCACAATAAGGGGAGAAAAAGGGATACGAGAATGGAAAGTGCGAGGATGGGTGGACAAGTTGACGGTTATAAAAAGAACAGATTCCCCAATATATCGGCAATAAGGGGGAGGGGGGAGGGGCATGATGATGATGATGATGGTGGTGGTGATGGATACGGTAGATGGACTCCGCCTTGTAGAAAGGGGGGTGAGGATACGAGAAATGAGAGACGAGACTCTAGCGTTCAGGTTGTTGCGAGTGAGGTCATTTCGAGAGGGGCTAAACAATGGGATTGATACGTTTGGTTGAATCTTAAGCTGTAGACTGTAGACTGTAAGCTGGAAGCTTTTTTTTCCCACCGGTTCATGTGCTGCACTTGGATGTACTACTGTACAGTACATAACTACTGTAGTGTGGGTAGGAGTAAGTAAATAAGTTATAGGTACTGTAGTCAGCTTGTTCCCCAATGGTTAAGCAGACAACTTACTTAGTGCCAGCACAGCAACTGTGGGACCCCCTCTCTCGGAGGCTGCAGCAGCGCAGCAGCAGCAGCAGCAGCAGCGCAGGGAGATCCTGCGGCGGAGATCTTGGTGTGCATATCGACTCCGTAAAGTCCAGTGACCTGCACCGATGGGGAATGCCCAGATCCGAGAGTCTAATTCAGTTACTCCGGCCTACCTATAAGTTACAAACTGGTTCGATGGATATCCTACTCGAATGCTGGAGCTGGTTGTATGATGTTTTTCTTCTTGTTTTGTTTTGGCTTTTCCCTCTCTTTCTTGGGAGGGAGCGCCCGGTGGAGATCCCGAATCACAAGAAGGGAAAATTATTGATGGCGCCACTATTGGGGGGGTTGCCGACGCCACTAGTGGTTAGCACCCTGGTGGTGGTGGTTCTGCTTGAGATTCGGAAGTCGTCCTGTGGTCAGTTGCGACGGGGTAGGATGTAGTTACTGTACTGTAGGGCAGCAATTGACAACTTGAGCGAGTGGTACAGATGGTTATACACAGTACTGTACACAAGAGAGCACAACACTTCAAGGTGCTGGGAAATAATTCTCAAATATCAAATATAGAATCTCTTATCTACCGGGCAAAAGCCCACCCATCCAGCTGCATGCTTACCTCAGCCGTGCAACGGTCCAGAAGTGGATGTCTTCTACTTGGTGGTGATTGGCGAGGCTCGCTCACCGCATTTTCTTTTCTGCTTTTTAGTTCGAGTACCCGATCTGCGTGCACCGCATCGCAGCCCAGGTCTTGTTCTTCTTGCAGGCTTGCAGGCTTGCACCTACTGACTGTACCTAGTAGCTCTTGCCAATGGCCCGATTGGGGAACCCAGACATTGCGCGGGACACCCATCCGAGAAGAGACGCCTTTTCTTCCGCCGCGGATTGGTTCGTGGAGGATGGCTGATGTCTGATAAACCTGGCCGAGTGGGTGGTTTTGCGTAGGATTAAACTCTTGGGCCTCTCTTATCCTCCCCTCCTCGCCCTCTTATGGTCAATTCTCCGGACTGTACATACATCGACGCTTAAATCAACAATCAAGTATATTTGAGGAGAAAGACAAGAAGACCTGATGGTCCGAAGCCAAATGCGAAAACAAAAAAATGACATACAACCGAATTAGTACTGTGCCAAAACTCCCAGCTGCCCCGCCAACTACCTAGTAACCACCAGTAAACCGGACTAGTTCTCCTTCGGTCTTCGGTGCGGACCCATTTTTACACTATTCAATTTTTTTTTCCCGCTCTCTCCCTCACGCTTGTTGCTCTCATTCGAGTCAAAAGAGTTCAACCACAACACCTGAACATACCTTCTGGGATTGACTGAGTGACTGAGTGACTGAGTGACTGAGTGACAGACAGACAGACGGATTGAAGCTAGACTAGTCCCAAAGTCTGCCACTGATATTCCCGACTTCCCCTCTTCCTCCCCCCCCCCTCCTCCGTCTTCCCTCTTTGTTTATTTTACTATCATCAATTTTATTATCTCCAACTTACTAACCACTACCTTCCCAATTGTACAACCTTCCCCTCCCTCCTCCCTAAACTACTCCTCCATCTTTTCCCTCTTCCTCTTCCTCTTCATACCCCTCCTAAGACACACATTCACATACACACCTACCCACCTTCCTCCCTTACCTCTCTTTCCCCCCCCTCCCTCCTCATTTACCTTCCGTGCGCGGGTGGCCATTTTTTTTTCTGATCCGGTCCGAAACTTCTCCGCATCCCGCCGGACGCTTCGCCTTTTGTACATTATCGCTGTTTTCGAGTTGAACTCCTCCTTTCGCTTCGCTTCCCCTTTTGCGCTGTTGGCGAATATCCGGCGTTCCTAACGACTGTAACGACATCCCCCAAACCTCGACGACGATTCACAATGGCTCCCCCCGCTGGTGAGACTGTGACGATCTCGATCCGACGTCCCATTGACGACCCCATCTACCTGGCCGGCACCTTCTCCAACCCCCAATGGGAACCCGTCGAGCTCAGCTCCAAGCCTGTCGACACCGAACCCGATGAGGACGGACTTATCTCCACCGAATATCTCTTCTGGCACGATCTGACCCTGCCTCCCGGCCAACATCAGTACAGATTCCGTGAGGGGAAAAAGGGCCCGTGGTTTCATGATGAAGCTGTAAAGCATGGTAGGCATTTCCCTCCGTCATCTATGTCAGGGCTTTGCGTTGCGGCGCAGGGTTTCTGAGTTTCTAGGCTTGGTTCTTTGGGAGAGAGAGAGAGAAACTAATTGACTATGCTATGTAGTACCGGGCGAGGGTGGCCTCGTCAACGTGCTTACTGTTGGGGAGAAGGAGTCCGCGGCCGATGCTGTTCAGCCCGTTGTGGAGAACGATGTCAGCGAGAAGACGGAAGAGACTGTGTCGGAGGGCGCTACGCCCAAGGAGAACGGGGTCAATGGAGTCGCCGAGCACGACACATCTGCGCAGGAGTCTACGCCCGAGGAGCACCAGCCTGAGCCTCTCGCCACTCAAAAAGAGACCGAGCTGGAGGAGCCTGTCACTAACGGCAGCACCGCGACCCCTGAGGTCAATGGCACCGAGACTGTGGAGCAGCCCTCGGAAGAAAAGCCTACAGTCACTGCGAACGCCCCCGAAACCGTGGAAGAGAAGCCCGCCGAAGCCGAGACAACCTCTGAGAAGGAAGAAGCCGCCGCCACTGAGACTCAAGAAGCTCCAGTCATCACTGAATTTGCCGAAGCCGCCACAGACGCCGACAGGGACCAAACCAAGGAAGAAGAGCCGGCCAATGCTGTTGAGAGCGCCCCAGAAACCGACAGCAAGGCAGCTGAAGAGCCTCAGACGGAGAAGGTCGCTGACGAGCCCGTGTCCAAGGTTGAAGAGCCTGCTACCGAGAGTGCGGCTGTAGAGACTGCCGCGGAGGAAACCCCTGCAGTGGAAGCCGTCTCGGAGAAGCCTGCTGAGACCGAGCCCGTTGCGACTGAGACTGAGGAATCGACCGCCCAAGAGCCCGTCGAGGAGCAGCCCGTCAAGGAGGTGGAGGCAACTGAGGCCGCGGTGGTCGAGTCCACGGAAGAGGCTGTTAAGGAGGAACCCGTGACACAAGAGCCATCCGAGTCTGCTGTTCCTGTCGAGTCCACGACTGAACCCAGCGCTGCGGCCAAGGAGCTGCTCGAGGATAGCAAGACCCAACAACCTCTCGAAGTTGCTGCTCCTGCAATTTCTGCTGAGGAGTCTGTCGCTCACGAGGCTTCCGAGAACTCCGAGGAGACCCCTGCTGTTGAGACCCCTGCTGTTGAGACTTCTGCTCAGGAGCCTGCCAAGGAGGAGCTTCTCACGGAAGAGCCTGTGAAGGAGGAACCCGTCAAGGAGGAGTCCGTTGCCGAGCCTAGCACCGAAAACTTTACGGAAGAGCCTGTTGTCACCGAGACGCCATCGGAGGCGGTTTCTGCTCAAGAATCGACTGAGACGCCTGCCACCGAGGGTGCCGAAGCCGAGCAAGCCGCGGAGGAACCTACCGAGACCCAGATCGCAGAGACTTCTGCCATTGAGCCTCTTCCTGAAGTGGCTTCTACCGAGGCGGGCGAGAAGGAAGAGCCTGTTGCGGAGCCAGTCACCGAGAAGTCTCCCGAGATTGCTGCTGAGGTTGCGCCAGTGGAAGCCGCCGCCGAAACCACGACCGTTGATGAGTCCATGGCTGAAGAATCCGTGCCTGAGGAGAAGCCTGTAGAGGAGGCTGTCACTGAAGCCCCGGCTGAGGTAGCCGCCACTGAAGCTTCTGAGCCCGCCAAGGAGCCTGTCGCTGACGAGCCTACTCCTGAGGTCTCTCATGCTGAATCTGTGGAGGAGCCGAAGGAGACCACGGTTGTTGATGACAAGGTGATGGAAGTGAACGCCGTTGGGGAGCCAATGGAGCCACCTGTGGAAGCCGCCAACGAACCAGGCCAGACCGAAGCCGCTGCCGAGGAACCTACTTTGGAAGGCGCAACCGCCGAAGCCACTACTCAGGAGGAGCCTGCTCATCAAGAGACCGTTGCGGAGGAGCCGGTTGCTGAGACTTCTGCTGAAGCCACTACCCCCGAAGCCTCTGCTCCCGAGATCGTTCAAGAGCCTTCTGAGAAGGAAATTGTCACTGAGGAGCCAGCCGTGGAGAACTCTGAAGAGGCTGTTGTGGAAGAGCCGGTTGTTGAGGAGCCTGCCGTTGAAGTCCCTGTTGAGGTGGAAAGCGTGAAGGAACCTGCTGTTGAGCCCACCCAAGAGCAGACCGTGGAGGAGCCTGTGGCTGAGAAGCCGGTTGCCGAAACTTCAGTGGAAGAGCCTGTCAAGGAGGAATCTGTTGTTGAAGCTCCTGCTACTGAAGCGCCCGCAGTTGAGGAGCTACCTGCTGAGACCACTTCTGAAAAGGCGACAGAAGAGCCTGCTGTTGAGGAGGCAGTTGCTGACGCAGTTGTTGCTGAGGTTACTGAAGAGCCAGCTACCAAGGAGGAATCCGCCGTCGAGGAATCCGCCGTCGACCCGACTATCGAGAAGGCCTCCGGAGAGCCTGCCATTGAGCAACCAGTCGCCGAAACCACCCTTGAGAAGGAGATTGAGAAGGAGCTCACAACGGAGGAAGAGCCAGCTGTTGAGGCCACTCCTGAGGTTACTCACGAAGAAGTTTCGGAGGAATCCATCGCCGAGACTCCTGCTATGGAAGAACGCATTGCTCAAGAACCTGTTGCTGAGCCGATCGTTGCTGAGGTTGCTGAGACTGTCAAAGAGCCTTCGGCTGATGCAGTGACTGCGGAAGAGCCTGTAGCAGAGGCCATTGTTGCCGAGACTGCCAAGGCCGTTGAAGAGCCTACTCAGGAGACCCCCGTTGCTGAGGAGCCAACTCCCGAAGCTCCCACCGTGGAGGAAGTTGCTGAGCAGGAAAAGATTGTCGAGGAGCCCGTCGCTGAGGCCACTGAAGAGCCCGCTTCTTCCACTGAGCAGCCAGCTCCCGAGACTTCTGCTCCCGAGGAACCCGCCGAGGAGACGCCTGCTGTCGACACTACTGCCACCGAGACTACCGAAGAGAAAGCTCAGGAGGAGCCTACCGTCGGTGACGAAGAGCCCGTGGTGGAAGCCGCCGCTGCTGAGGAACCCGTTACCGAACAGCCTACCGTCGAAGAGCCCGCCCAAGCCGAACCAGCTGCCGCTGAGCCCGTGACTGAGAATGTTGTTGAAGCTGCAGAGACCGTTCAGGAGCCTGTTGCGGAAGAGCCTGTCACCGAAAAGGTTGCCGAAGTCGCGGAGCCCACTCAGGAGGAGCCTGTCGCCGAGGAATCTGCCCAACCCGAGCCAGCTGCTGCCGAGAAGGTCACTGAGGAGATTGCTGAAGTTGCGGAGCCCGCTCAGGAGAAATCAGCTGTGGAGGAGCAAGCGCCCGAGGTTCTTGTCACCGAGGAGCCCACCGCATCCGAGCCAGTGACTGAGGAGGCTGTCGCTGCTGAAGAGGTTGCTCCTGTTGCGGAGGCGCCCGCCGAAGAGACTCAAGAAGAGCCCAAGGAGGCCCCTGTTGTCGAGGAGACTCCCGCTGTGGAGGAGAGCGTTGTTCCAGAGGTCGCCCTCGAGAAGTCTCACGAGGAGCCCAAGGAGGCACCTGTTGTTGAGGAGGTTCCTGCTGTGGAGGAAACCCCTGCTGTCGAGGAGACTCCTGCTGTCGAGGAGACTCCTGCTGTCGAGGAGACTCCTGCTGTCGAGGAGACTCCTGCTGTCGAGGAGACTCCTGCTGTCGAGGAGACTCCTGCTGTCGAGGAGACTTCCTGCTGTCGAGGAGACTCCTGCTGTCGAGGAG